GGGGGGGAGTGGGTCTGGACTGGGGGGAGGGTAATCAAATTTCAGTTATTCTTTACAAATTTGAAGTCGGTTTCCAAGCAGTATTCCTGATTTCGCAGCGCGGCGGGTTAGGTTTCATTTTTTAAAATAAAAATTACGATAAAAATATTTTCCCGGAAAATGACGTCAGAAAAATATAATCCTTGTCTGAGTAATTTGTCTTATGTTATTTTTCCACAGATTGTTTATTTTCATCATTGTTCTTCTTCGTACCTTATTAAAGCATAACAATTCTTAGCTAAGGTATGATAAGCGTATATGGATGGTCAAACACTGAAAATAAAAAAATGTTGTCTTTAAGTTTGATTAATTTTTCATGTTTTTCAGTTGAAGAAATATCTATTCTATATAATATTTATATATTAGCTATCAGCTAGTAAATGTATTTGTTAATCATTAAAAAAATAGGCAGCTCTTCTCTATTAATAGACTTAGATATATATTCTCTTTTTTAAGAAATTATTTTCATTTGTGGTTTCTTTGCTAAAGTTTTCTGTTTCATAAATACTGGAGAAATTGTCAGAATTAAACACTTTTCAAACTTAATAAACGACTGTATCTTTCATCAATATTGATCAGATAAAGGTTTAAAGGGTACCTTCGTGAATAGGGTCCGTTCCTCTTTATATTTAGTTCACTTTAAATTACAGCCCTGTCACTTTCGTGTATTTTTAATTATTAATTTTTGTTCTGGACATTCATCTTTGTTTTACATAAATTGATTATTCTGACAAACAGAATTAAACAGTCAGACCACGGGCATACAGAGGTAATTCGTCTGGGGGCTTAATTTTTTAAATTTACAACAAAAGCCTGAAACCCCATTGGAAACTGCAGATTTTCTGAGCCACAGTATTTTTCTTTTATGTAGCCTTGGATATAAGGATTTCAAGATCTAGGAAAACAGAACCGATCAGGGAAATCAGAACCAAGATCTAAGAAAACAAAACCAAGATCTAGAAAAACAGAACCAAGATCTAGGAAAACAGAACCGATCAGGGAAATCAGAACCAAGATCTAGGAAAACAGAACCAAGATCAAGGAAATCTGAACCAAGGTCTAAGAAATCAGAACCAAGATCTAGGAAAACATAACCAAGATCAAGGAAAACAGAACCAAGATCTAGGAAAACTGAACCAAGATCAGGGCCTTGGTTTAATTCCTTATTTACTCTATCCTAATGGTAAACATATAATTATGTTTTAAGTACACACCAAATTGTTATAAATCTCTGATTTTATCTTCTAGCCACCCCCTCACCTTTTCATA